GGGAACCGGGTCATTCAACCGCACTCTCCGCTCGCGTGCCACGCACTCACGGCTTGACTGATGGCCAGCCAGGTTATGGCGTACACCGTGGTGAGTGACTTGCACACACATGTCTTGCGAGCTTGGTCGCGTGTTTCCAAGCAGAAATCCAACAGATTGTAAACTGATGACGCTGGCGCAGGAAGAATGTCCTGACGCAAGCTCAATTCATGTGTGCGCAACGAGGGGTGTGACTACCGGACCTCGCTCGCCGATAGATAGCCGGGATCCAGCTCTGGGAGACGCACGATCTCCTTGTTCGATGTCTCCACGAGGACTTCATCGTAAAGCTGGTTTCCCGCACTGAGTACTTCAACGCAGCTGCCGATGGCACCGTCCGACTCTCTGACCTGACCTGTGATACGCGAACACGAGTCAAAAGCGAGAAGAGAAGACGAAGACGAAAACCGATCAACCTCCCATCGTCCACCACCACAAGGTCCCCCACCTCTGCATACGTCCGGTCCGCCAGTTTCTTCAAGCTTGGTCCAACCCCCAACACCGTTCCCCGGTGACAACATGCTCACAGCGTCCCTCTACAGTCGATTCTGTGATGACTCCCGAGACGAGGCCGTCAACCGTGCGCTTGCAGAAATCGCCGGGATGGAATGTCCGGTCGACGAGAACGAGCTCGGCTTCGGCAGTATCTGTCGATCGAATTCGTGGCGATGGGAGCTGTCGGCGTCTCGGAAGAAGGATACGCCTGCGGGTCGTTTCTCAGTGGTCGGTATACACGCGGACATGAACTGAGCGGCACGCGATGCACACTACGCACCGACTTCTCCCTGGCTGAGTGGTCGCATGAGCGGATCGCTCTGGGCAGTTGCTGGCGGTATCTCTTCGACGTCATGCCAGCATCTCTACGCTTTCGTCCAGCGGTGAAGGGAAACGGAAATGAGATCTACCATAACCAATCCCAGTAACACCCTGGCCGTCCGGCGATTGTGAGGTTGGAGATGTGACTCGGCGGACGACATCTTGCTGGTAGAACTAGGCAAAGTTGAGTTTGTTGTACGAAAGCACAGGGGACAACGACCTTTGTCTCGATATTTCGGCCCATAGTGCTGCACTTGGAGGTGCATGTATGATCGCTTCCGGAGAGCGATTACCGCATCGAGTCATCACTGCATCACGGGCCGCGTGATTGACAAGGCAACATGGCTTTCCGGTAAATTCTCTGTATTTCGGAGAGATACAGAAGTAAGTAAACGAATCTGTCGTGGATATAAACATGGAGAGTGATAAGCAGCCTCCTATGTGTGAGTATGTGTCTCTATTTTCAGTAAGGCATATTAAACTTGCCCATCAACCACCATTCATCCACTGCCTCGTTCGCATCATAATCGAACTGGACCAAGTACGTGCCCCAGGTTGCAGCCAGGATGTCATCCGAGATGTCATCCACATTGACCAGCGACAGCGACAGCTGTTGATTCCTCATCTCGCGCGCTGGCCCAGGAGGGAAGGTGATGACAATGAATGCCCCAGTTCAGATGCCTCCGTTGCCATGGAACGCGCAAAGCGGACTTGTCGATAGCCTTGCAGGAGATACGGAATTTGGTGGGGGGAGCTGACATGAGAAAACACGCGACCGAGGGCAAAACCGTCTTCCACCTGCAGAAAACTAGAGTCAGAGATGGCAAGAAAGCAGCAGCACACCACTTACAGCCATCGATCTGTTGAGACACGGAATAACCATCTTGACTAGAATGCATTGAAGGCCGGAAGAGAACTTACGAATTGTGTGTGGCGTTGATCTGTAGAGGCTTCGTTGGATACGTCAATATCGGTCGTGAAGAATGCTCACTGTAATGGTATGGGCGGCATCCCCAATGACAACTAGGCCCGTGGGATGCACGATGCGACGGACGATCGGCACACGTTGTATCGTCGAATGGAAATGATGCGCAATCTTGAATAATCGTTCGACACTTGAGGTGCGAATTAGCGCGTTCTTGACTGGTTTCACCCGTGCAGCTCACCGAGGTTCTAGTCCAGTAAGGGCCACATCGGCTGCGACGGTAGGTCGAGCATTTGGGTCCCAGTCTGTGTCAACATCGTCGGGCAGAATGCCAGTGACGCGAGTACACGTCAGAATATACAGATCATGGCCAGACTGGGAATAATTAACCTCCGCGGTAGGTAGATTGACTGCCATGAACCTTGTGCCCAGTGACAAGAATGTTGGCGCCAGGCCAGATCATAAACTAGAACCAGATCAGAAAGCTAACGATCAGCGAAAAGAAAACAGGCGAACCTCATTGGTCTGAGCAAGTGAGACTAGTGCAGGGTCATCTCGCATCGCAGAAAGGCTGATGGAATAAGAATGCCTGATTCATGTGCCAAGTCGATCAATGGAAGAATGTCACGTGCCAAGCCACACTCACGAAACAATCTCAGACACTCCTGCGCTGCTCTGTTTCTCAGAGATCGAGTCCCCGTCGCTGTCGTAGTCGTCTTCGTCCTGTTCCGACTGCTGGTTGATAGCGCCCATGACGATTCCATCTCGGCCGTCAGCCCCAACCAGCTAACGTAAGAGATCACGATCGAAATGATTCCGTGGAAGCACTTGAGTGGCGTACCAGATCACAGTCCAGGCGGTCGCCTAGAATCGTTACCACTGCTGGTCTCTGCCCATGTGCCGCATGTACCGCTGTAACCTCCGTCTGGAACTTGAGCTGAACGCCTGCGTTGCGGCAGAGACCCAGTAGATACTGGATCAGAACGTCATACTGGACATATATCTGTCAAGTAGACAACATCAAAGGAACCACGGAGGAACTCACGGCAATCATCCAGAATTTACACCCCAGATCTTCCAACACTTCGTCGATGAACACCATTCGGCCAATGACCTTGGAGGATTCGCCTGAATGAAGGAATGGGTGAGACTCAGACGGCGGCTTAAGCGCATTCGCAACCTTCGAGGAAAGTCATCCTGCAGAATGGAGATAAGAAGTCGTTGCATAGAAGAGTAACGGACATCACCCTTCACACTCAATACCATGCTCTCGCAACAACTCTTTGCCTCCGGGCAATGTCTCCAACAACCGTGACATATTGGGCGGAACTCGGACACCGCCATGCGTCTTGGTAGAAATCCCAATCATCCATACAGCAGTCGGTCAGTGATAGAAGGGACCCACATCGACACAGTCATCACGTTTGTCCAGAACAATCACCTCGTGTGCAGAACCACGGAGAGTATACGCTGCACAGAGACCAGCAATACTTCCTCCAATGATAATGCACTTGAGGTGGCAGCACTCTCCTGAGTTCAAGTCATGAGTCGCGGATGAAGTCATGGCGGTCTATGAGCGGGGCCGGAGTACGGAGCGAGGGGGATGAAGCCACAGGCAGTTTTAAATTTGCGCTGACAGCTCTTGAGCGCCATCATCAAAGCTCGGGTAAAGACAAAGTCACAAAGGATCCGTCACAAAAGCCCCGCTGCATCGCGTGAACAAAGTCGCGTCCAAACATCGCCATCATCGGCTTCTCTGCCACCACAACTAACACCTTCGCACCGACACTCCTATATACTGACCACCGCTGCTGATAACACCCATGACGACGTGCGCTCTCTCCAGTCGCGTCTCCGAACGCGTGACTACCCACAATCCCAACAGCGAAACCAGTGCGACGACACTCGAGGCCGCGATCGAGCAAGCAAAACGCGCTTTCGCCCTCGAAAAATACGAGCAAGCGGTCGACCACTACGCGACTGCACTGGAGCTTGTGTATGTCGCGTGTCCTCAGGGCTGCTTTCTGCCCATCTGACGCGTCGCAGCACACAAACACACGGTGACGACGCGCCGGAGACCGCGGATCTCTATTTTTCGTATGGCAAAGCGTTGCTGGAGAATGCGATCTCCCAGAGCTCTGTGCTCGGGAAGAATGAGCCCGAGAACGGTGTCGAAGAGGACGAGCCTGTCGGTGCGTGGCACGCCACCCATTCGTGTGTCTTTTCTGACGTTACGCGAAAAGAGTCCAACTCCAAAAACGGGCCGATACTCTCCTTCTCGGGTGACGCGGACGATGAGGGCGTGGACCTGCTCAGCGCAGCACAGAACATGGTCGACGGTGACGATGAAGACGAACAGGAAGGGGAGGGCGACGAAGATGCAGAGCCGGAAGATGACTTCAATGCGGCTTGGGAGGTGCTAGATCTAGCACGGGCGATATACGCCAAGCAGAATGAGGAAGAATCGAATGAGGATGTACAACTCAAGCTGGCAGATACTTATATCGCATTGGGGGATGTCTCGCTTGAAACAGGTGCCCGACACTCTACTTGACATTCACCGACAGTCCTCACAGACTTTGCAGAGAAATTCGACCAGGCCATTACAGATTACGAAGCCGGCCTGGACTTGAAAAAGGACTTGCTACCGCGCAGTTCGCGGCAAATCGCTGAAGCTCACTATAAATTGAGCATGGTGCTTGATCTCACTTCGGGACGACTGGGAGACGCCATTACTCAGGCTGAACTGGCTTTGGAGAGCATCCATTGTCGGATGGAGGCACTCACGAGCCCACCACCCGAAGGGCAGACACCCGTCTTGGCTGCCCCCGACCCTAAAGGGAAGGGCAAGGGCAAGGCCATCTCGACGCGTTTGATACGAGACGACGTTGCGGGATTGTCGCCCGCAAAAGTGGAGGCTGAGCTGAAAGAGCTAGCGGGATTGAAGGAGGATTTGGCAATCAAGGTGCGCCACAAACATTCATGTAGAGACATCTGACGTGATTTGGCGCCCAGGTGGAGGAATTGAAGACACGGCCGGATGAACCCAGGAAGGACGCACCGACACTGGCGGCTCAGGTTCTTGATGCAGAACTGAACAATGCCATCGGAACAGCTGGGGGTTCGGCCACCGTGAACGATCTGACCGGGATGGTCAAGAAGAAGAAGAAGGCGCCTATCCCTGAGACGGCATCTTCACCGGCCAAACGGAAAGCTGACGACGAGGGGGAGACCAGTGAAGGCAAGAAGGCGAAGCTGGACGAGTGAATCTATATCTCTCATGATGCATTAAATGATTCGAATTGCTGTGACTTGGACGCGTCTGGGGAATGGATGCAACGATTGGGCGTTTATAAAATAACCGCTCAGGAGATACAATGCTCAGGGCTGACAGCGGCTTGAGCGCCAATCTGCTGAAAGCTGGAACGTCGTTACATGCATCTTGCGGCATCAGCACGTTGATCCACCAGTTCCGCAGCCTTTGCACGTAAAGTGAATCACGCCAAGTTGTGCAACTTGGGCTGATAGAGCGCGATTTGGCCGCAACCAATGGCGAATGTGTTCGTATGTCGAGAGCTGAGCGAAAATAGCCGTGGTGCGTGTAATGAGCGATTGGAGCAAAATGAAGCGCCAAGAAGCGTTTCATGAACCGGAATGCATCACAGTGCGAACGGGCGCCTGACTGAACAATTTTTTTAGCGACCGGGGGTCGCGTATATCAGTTGCCTGCTTTCAACCCATTCATGACTCAGGACTTTTTGCTGGATCCCCTGCTAGCTTCCAACCTCACCTAGCCATGTTACCCCGTATACCGTCTTACCGTGCGTCGTCGCGCTCGTTGGTGGCCGCGCAGGGGCGCAGGGCATCCTACGCTGTCCGTGGCCGAACATTGCCGTCTCTACATTGCTCATCGTTTCGGTAGACTATCCGCGGCCTAAGGCAACCTGCCCCAGACCCTGAAGACACTTTACCGTCAGATAATGTATTTCTATGCCCATCTTTACGGGGAACTTCGTGTTGAAGCTCGGCATCTACAGGACTTCATCGTTTCCATCCTCCGTGCAAATCCCTCCCTCCGCGATACGCGCTCTTACCTCGCGTCTTTCGGCCCCCGACCCAAGCTCCCCACATTGGTCGAGCAAGTCATCCCAGCCGAGCCAAATGTCCCTATCGCGTCGGCGACTCCCGTCATTCCAGATGGCGTGAAAGCCAGTCCCGTCGTTTCGTCGATTCTTGACCCTGTCATCCGTCGAACCGCACTGGTCAAGATTCAGGGGCCGTTCACAGACGTCCAGCTGGAGAGCATCGCTCGTGGTCTGGTCTATCTTGAGAAATTGGGTCTCGTCAGCGTCATCGTGGTGGAGAATGATGCTGTTGCCCGAGGCGATCAGGAAGAGCGGTCATCATTGGTTGAGGAGACCATGCGCATCGTCACGACGCTGGAAAAGCAGGGAGCTCGTGCACGGCCTGTCCTTGGGACCATCGCCAAGCTTGGACCGAAACCGGGTGACGAGGATTCGCCCGAAGATATCACTCCCGAGGCACACACCTTCCCTTCGGATCTTGTACCCATCCGTTCTGCTCTTCGTGCGGGGGAGATCCCCGTTATCCCACCCTTTGCCCTGGACTCCTTCTGCCGATCTGTGCGGGTGGATGCCAATGATGTTCTCGGTGCTCTTGCGCGTGGAATGGCAGAAGCTGCCGAGAACGACCTGGACGAAGAAGTAAACCTTACGCCTCTGCGGCTGATGATCATAAATCGCGAAGGAGGTGTGCCATCGTACGCGCGCTCTGGACTGCCTCACCTCTTGATCAACCTTACCTCCGAATACTCCTTCATCAACGACACCTTTCACGATCCATGGCGAACGACGCATCCGACGGCCTTGGCTAATCTGGCATTAGCCCGGACTTGTCTGTCTTACATGCCCCCCACTTCGTCTGCTGTGATGGTCTCGCATCGATCTCCTAGTTCGTTAATCGCCAATCTGATAACGAACAAACCTGCGTTAAGCTCAAGCTTACCGCATGCGTTACTGCAGGGCAATCAACGGCTCAACACGCATACACCCACGCTTCTCCGTCGCGGATCACCGATCCGTGTTCTGCGCTCTGTCGAGGAGATCGACCGTGCAAAGCTCGATGGGCTGCTCGAGCAATCTTTCCGACGGACTCTCGATCAGGCTGCCTTCTACAAGCGGCTGGAGCAGACGCTGGACTTTGTCATCGTCGCCGGCGACTATGCCGGTGCTGCGATCGTGACCAACGAGCTAAATCCGGGCTCATCTGTTCCCATCTCGTACCTGGACAAATTCGTGGTTCTCCCAAGTCACCAGGGCGACGGGACCGTCGACTTCCTGTGGGTCGCACTGCACGACGAGTCGTATGGACTTGGGCACCCGTTCTCTGCAAACCCGAACGGCGGAAAAGGCGGTGTGGGCGAGGGCCGTGATCTTGTCTGGCGCAGCCGCGCGGACAATCCAGTCAACAAATGGTACTTTGAACGCAGCTCCGGCCATCTCAGAATGGGCCCCTGGGTCATGTTCTGGTGTGACGCCGAGAAACGTCTCAAGCAAGAGCAAGCCAAGAAGCTGACAGGCGGCGTCTCCTTTGTTGAGCAAGGGGAACAGGGTAGACTGAGTCAGTGGGCAGACGCTGTTCAAAAAATTCCATCGAGCTGGCTGCCTATACAATAGGCCTTTCATAGATTATTCACTCATCCAATGTATGTATGTATTGTATACTTATCCAGGTTAGATGCTCACGACTGGTCACATCATGTGGTAGTTGTCACGTTACTCGTTATGACGTGAAGCGTTCCTCCTTTACCTCACTCGACTCTTGAAACCACCACAATGCCGAGACGGAAAGCAGACAGCTTGAATCCCGTCTTCGAGCGCATTCTACAGGAGCTAAGAGATGAGAAGGATCCAGGTTCGGTCGGCGCGGTTGAACTCGGCATGTGCCCCTCATCCCCTTTCCAGACGAGGGACACCAATGGGCAATCTACAACAGGGCCCTCAAAGGACTCCAAGCGGCTGAAACTGTATTTTCTGACCCCCAGGAGCTCATATCCGTCAAGGGCATCGGTCCTGGGATCGTCAAAGCCGTGGCCAAGCGCCTCCGAGGCGACGAGGACGCCCCGCAGCGCACTTCAGCCGCGGCTTCCAAAGTCCCTGCCCGCCCGTTAAAGCGATCTGTCACAGATCTTGGGGTCGAAACAGGTGCTCCAGTAACCAAGCGGCGGACCGCCAGCGTGCCTGAGCTTCCTCGAGTCGCCGACTCAACGGTGCATGACGAAGATCCTAAGAGTTTCAAGTTTTGGTATCTGGGTATAAATCTTACTGCGTCTTTTCTCAGAATCCGCGTTCATCATGCACACATGCGCAGATAGCAAAGAAAACCCTGTTCGAGAGAGCATGCAAGCCGAGACAACCTTCGACGCACATTCACAATTATGGATGAAGGTTATGTACCCTCCTACAATGGAGCGACATCCACTGGCTACTCATCTGATTGTGGTCGTGCGCCGTGATGACGGCATCGTTGCTCAAATGCCGGAGCTGCTCGCTGAAGGGCTGCGCTCATGCCCCGGCTTTTCAATCCAGCCCAAGCCAACTTCGAAGGCAATCAAACACGGTTCATCCAAGTTGCTCAAGGCTCTCGCAGCTGAAACACAAAAACCTCGCAACACCATCGATCCGTCGAGGCAACTTCCTACTTATATGCAGACAACTAACAGGGGGGAGTCAAGTTCGCAAGTCATTCCACCAACCCAGAAGGCTGCAGCAAAGCGCGTGAATCATCAAGCACAGGCCCTAGTGCCTGCTAAACCATCTCGGTCTCTTTCTCGTGCCGCGACCGCGACCACTGCACCAGAAAGAGCAGTTCCGCCGATTCAACGAACGAAATCCGCACCTGCCGTCGGGAATCCGACCTCGCGACCGAGACTGTCTCACGCTACCCCAAACTTGCCTCCCGTCGAGCATTCTATCTACACGGCGCAGACAGACTTCCCTGACTTTTCTCCTGATATCATGCGGGCGGGGGACTATGACATCACGCTGGTCTTGGACCACCGGGAAAGGGGCGCCCATCAAGACCGTGATGCCATGCGCAATCGTTTGCGGAGGAATGGGCTCGCCGTTGAGACCGAGTCTCTGGAACTCGGCGACGTTATCTGGATCGCTACGAGCAAAAGCGGTGGCCACTCTTGTGTCCTTGATTTTGTTCTCGAACGCAAGCGGCTCGATGATCTAGTGGGCTCGATTAAAGACGGGCGCTTTCACGAGCAAAAGGTTTGTGACGTCGTCATTTCATTGCGCTTTCAATGTTTATCGTCTTGTCCCAGTTCCGCCTGCACCAAAGCGGGGTATCCCGCGTTCTTTACCTTGTTGAGGAATACAATGCGGTACACCAGAGGGAAAACTGGGGGGTTCAGATCAACACAGCGTTATCGTCGACTCAAGTGGTCGATGGCTTTCTCGTGAAGGAGACCAAGAGCCATGACGATACTATTGAATACCTCACTGGGCTGACCGAGCAGCTGATTCGTGCCCACCAGGTCCGTAGGGCAACTGGATCTGGGCAGTGATTGACCGCCGTCTAGATGAAGGATCTGCATGTCATTCCGTCGTACATGATCAAACGGCATTCCTATCTGGAGCTCAGGAGATATCTGGGACACAAGCACCCCGACCGGACTTACGTGACCTCGCTCAGAGACTTTCAGACACTCAACTCCAAGTCTGGGTTCACGACTGTGCGGGATACATGGGCCAGGATGCTGTTGTGTGTTAAAGGTATGAGTGCAGAGAAGGTGGGGGCGGTGATTGAGCGATGGCCCACCCCTCGGCTGTTTTGGGAAGCCCTGAAGGAAGCGGAGCAGGTCGAGGCTCTGGAGCGACGCGAAGAGGCCTTGGCCGGGGGCCCCTCCAAGGGGCGCAACAAGAGAAAGATCACCGAGGCGAATCAGATGCTGAAAGGCGTTGGCGGTGCGGAGGGTGGGGTTCGTGCTATCGGATCTGCGTTGAGCAAGAAGCTCTATGAAGTATTCATGTCGGAAGTGTACTCCGAAGACATCTAGCGGCTCATTTGAGTCGTCCATCGTGATTGTATATCTGAGTCTTACCTAGTTACTTGCAGTATATTGGCTTGTATCGTATGGACATAATCTAATCGCATCTAATCGAACAGCTCGTTCCTGCATAATGATCACTGCCGATTGACAACCTTGGCACCTGGCCATGCGACCGAAGATCGTCCGTTGGCACCGCGACACGAGCTGACACGAGCGAGGTGTCACACGGCTCAGCCTGTGTGGCTGTGTAGAGACCGTTATAAAAACAAATGGCGGGGACATGACGGCTCCAGCTTTGCCTCCTCATTCTTCCTCCAGGACCGGTTCCTCTCAGCCTTTTCGTGCCTTTGCTACCCACCTTCTTTCGCGTCTCACATACACATTCCTTCGTGCCGCAAAATGCTCTTCCAGTCTACCGTCCTTGCGCTCTTCGTGTCCGCCACCTTGGCTCGTGAGTGATCACGCGGATGGACATGCGGTTTGGCTGACACGGCGCGCGCAGGCCCTGTTTACTATCCCCGGGCTAACCCGCAGGCGTGCTTCATCACCGGTGCGTTCGTTCGCGTCGCGATCTTCAAGCCCCTGATTATCCATCCATCGGGGCGCAGGATCCACCGCGCTGCCGGCGGAAGTGGCCACCGGTGTCCCCGCGTTGGCGAAAGCCGTCACATGCAACACCAAGGTATGCCGAAATCCGAGGTTCCCCGCTGCGGCTGCAATTTGGTTCTGACCGGATGCCGACAGACGCAGATCGTGCCTGGCGTGCCGGATGTCACCTCGGGTGGGATCGCCTTGAGCACGATTGATTTCCAGAAGTCGTCGAAATCGCCCCTGGGCTTTGCGCTGTGCGTGGCTCATACACCTTTCCCCCGGGTCTTGACTGACTGCTTCGATCAGGGCGACGTTCACGACGCCGACCAACCCGGCCCAGGCTGATGTCGCGACCCTCCAGAATCAGCTGAACGACTACCTGGCCTTGGAGGCGGGCATTCGCGTAGGTTCCCCGTCAGATTACGAAATGCACAGGCGGCTCACGTATCGCCTTACAGTCGCAGCCCTCGAACAATGCGAACAAGGTCCTCCTCGAGAAGATCAAGGGCCCCAAGTTCTTCCTGCAGTTCCAGGTCCGTCCGAGACTTCCTGCAACGTAGGATTCAGACTGACCATTTGCCGCAGATGGCTCGTGTCAACGCTGCCAATGGAGTCAAGGTGTCTGCCGCCGGCACCGTTGCCCACCAGCAGGCCAAGGTCATCAAGGCAAGTCGTATGAAATTAACCTTTCGGATGTGGACTGACCTATTGATCAGAACGCCGCGGGTGCCTCTGCGCAGGAGATCGCTCAGGTCAACGCTCTGGCCAAACAAACGTAGACGCTTGTAGATTTGTGCAGCACTCTCAGGTTGTTATGCGAGCAATAAAATTAAGTTGTGACAGGCCAACGGCTACTAAGTATCGAATAAATCAGTCCAAAATAGTGCAAATCAAACCCCGAAACGGCCATATCTCAGTCTAAAAAACCGCAAATGAGCTAAATCTCAGGCTGAAATAGTGCAAATCGCGGGCGCAGACAGCAACTTTTTGTGCAGTTGCCCTCGTCCTTTAGTGCCAGATGGGAGTCAAAAGTAGGCCTCGGAGAAGACGAAACTGGGCAGAACTGGGCTCAAATTACTACAAAAAGCTCCAAATTTATCCAAATTTAGGTGGACCTTGGTCCGATATAGTATACAAATCAACGCTCAGAACAGCTGATTTGGTAGTGCAGTTCAGCCTCCTGGGGCCCACTGACCGTAGCAGAGGGCCTGTTGTTACCCAGATTTTAGAAAAATCTGTCCATCAGGTTTCTAGATGCCTCCACGCCAAGCTGTGCGGAGTTGATTTTATTAGTAGGTGCGCACGCGTGGGAATCGGGATGCAAAGACTGACGAAGGTGGCTGCATTTGCGGGGAAGGCCTGCGAAAATGAATCATCAGTAAAAGGCGGAAGATCGGGCCGGACCGACGACGGCGACGATGACTTACCCTGCCCATGGCCGGACCGAAGCCCTTCCACAGCGCCTTCACTCCGTCCTGCGCGATGGTCTTCCGCGCGCAATCCATCATCCCCGAGTATGTTCCGGTCGGTGCGGACTGCAGCCGCGACTTGAGGACCTACTGGCCGTCAGACTACCTCGATCATGCCTGGTGCGTGGACGCGTACATCGGGAGGGATGGCCAGCGCCCACATGGCTACTCCGGCCGTGCCACCGGCGATGATGATGGCGCCCAGGTTGAGCTCAGAGGATGATGCGCCTGCAGGTGTGAGAAGCCCCTTCGTAACCTCATACGCAGCAAAGTAGCTAGCAGCAGTTCGTCGGCGTAAGTTAGGTGGTAAGGTTGTTTTGTTTGTTGTCCACGTACGCAGCACTTCCAGGGCCATCACGGGCCAGAGTGGCACCCGATCCTCTGAAGATACTCTTCAATCCTCCCTCTTTGTACAAATGCCTCATGACATCGAACACGCCCTTGTACTTGTGCTCTGAGCCTCCTTGTCCTTGGACCTAGGACTGGATGTCAACAAACGACGCCCGGGGAAGTAGGTAGACGAAGCTCGCCTGGAGCAGCACTTTCGCGCGCTCGACGGGCGCCGTGACGAGTGTGGTCGGGACGGCAGACATGAATCCTGCGGTGGCCAGCTCAGCGGTGGACAGTTTGTCCGACTTGCGGTCTGGCGTTGCCGAGAGGATGATCTGCTTGGAAGCGTCGTATGCCTGTGTCCGATCGACGTTAGAGCGGGGAGGACGTGCAGAGCGGCGGGCAGACCCAGAAGGACATCGCGAAAATTGGCGTGACACCGAGCAGGGGAGGCACCATGCCTCGATACATGCTGGCGTCCATAGCAATGAGATGGCGAAGCATAAGGGTCAGACAGAGCGAGAGCCACGGACCCAGTGAGCCCATCCTTGGCCACTGTCTTCTTCACTACGTCGATAGCACCGGTATATGTTCCGGCGGATGCGGTTTGTAAACGCGTCTTGGTGAGATCGAAAGGATGTCCTACACAGGTACTGCGGTCAGAATGGAATACCCGGATATGTAAAACGCGCGACAGACCGACAAGGACAGCAGAAACACCTCCGAAACCGCCAGCGATGAAGGACTTGACTGAGTCAACAGCCGACGTTGTTGTTTCTTCGATAGAGGGCGCGTCAGACTGAAAAGCAATCAGAGGGGGGATATATGGGTGTGGTGGACTGGCAGACCATAGCGTTTAGGATAGAGTGCCTCGGAAGTCGGTTCAACGCCTCAAGAAGTGAGGCCGGCTTTTGATCGCATGTGATTGATCGACCCCGCCCCGTCGCGTGTGTGATATCATAAGTACCGCCCCGGTAGAAATACAGAGATTACGTGCATAAGTACATAGTTATCTAGCCTACATATTATTACGAGTCGCCATCATTTCCAAATCCGCCAACAGGTTCGTATGTGGCCTGTGTGAAGTCTCTCCTCCAGAAAACGCGGACGCCGTAGAAGAAGAGCAGGATGGCGATGATGCCGGAGACGCCGACGAAAGCGGGCCCCCCGTACTCGACCCACCACGGCGGGTTGTACGGCACAATCAGGCGGTCGACGAGAATGACACCGCCGACTCCCCCGCCAGTGGTCGATCGGCCCCAGGACAGGACCTTGGCCGAATCATCGTCGCCCTTGGTCCCCCTCGCTCCTTTGATACCGACAACATAACCCCCCGCGTCGGTTTCCTTGAAAACGATGTCGCCGTAGGCAGAGGCTCCAGAGCGGAGCGTGCTATACGACGCAGAGTCCTCCATGACCAGCGGCCGGTTGTTGTTCACCACCATCGCGGACGCCGCACCCGGGGTGGGAATCACGTGCTGGCGCACCAGCTCACGGATCCCGTGCACGTCGTTGTAGAGCTGCGACAGGTTGTAGCTGCTGAACGCATCGTCCGAAGGACACAGGATCGTAAAGCCGGCGGCGGAACCCAGCTCATCGGCCCATTCTGGCGGAGGTGGAGATCCGTCCATGAGCCAATCCATGCCAGCTTTGCTGATAACTGTGGCCATGGCTGTGGCATCAGCTGCTTTTATCAGCTTTCCCACAGTGAGCTCGACGGAGCGGGGGATGAGGATGTCCGACACCTGGTGCACTACTCCAGTCTGGGTGATGATGTCACTGGGATACAATTGGGCCTTGATTCCGCTCCAGCCGCCACTAGCGTGGATGAAGGTCTCGTTCGCAACACGCTCCAGCTGGATGTCGGATCCTTCCAGCGTGGCAAATGTGTGCGAGCCGTTCCTTAGCGACTTGGCATATTCTACACTATCCAGCGTGTGGTGCAGCAAAACACTGGCCAGGTCCTTCTTCGACGACGGTGCCAGCAGATGCGCAGCCACGAGATCGCCCAATCGCTTGAAAGCCGAGTTGTGCGGGACCAAGAGCGAAGTTCGGGCGGTCGTCTTCAAAATCTCTGCGACTGCGGCCGAAAAAGCCGAAGCTACAAACAAGGAGAGATCCTGAAGAGGCAAGAGCGCCTCCAGCGCATCTGATGGGCGGACCAGTGGACGCGAAACGAAGTATATCAGCGTGTTGTTCAAGGGAACTAGGAACTAAGTTTGAGTACATCCCGAGCGCTGGAAATAGATACTCACCCGGCTCTCCAAGGACGCCGACACCTCCAAATTTGATCGACCGCTCATCCTTCTTCTTGTCGGACGACGAAACCCCAATGCTGAGAACTTGTGGGCCCCCATCGAGCCCCTCTTCGGCCAAAGCGGTTTCCAAGAGCATTCCATCATGCAAGTCCTTCGGCTGCCATTTGCCAGGAAGGAAATGGTATTGCAACAGCTTCTTTAGCTCTTCGGATCCCCGTTCTGGAATGTCCTCGTTGCCGAAAAGCGCGAAAACTTCGTCTCGAGGGGCCAAGATGGTGTATTTGGCATTCGTGTCATTCACGAGCCCCGTGAGATTGACAGAGTGGAGGAGAGACACAAAGGATGTGCAGTTGAGCGCAAGCAGCGATTTCTCGGGAGTGATCTCCAAGTCCACTAGTAGATCAGACACGAGATGCAAGACTCCATTCGAGGCGTAGATGTCCGGCTGAATTAGTTCTGATCCCGAGACCCTAGTCGCTTCTGGCGTCACGACTATATCCAGAACGCCTCCACCAATAGTCTTCACTGACAAAGAAATTAGAACTCTGACCAGATCCAGGGCAACCAATCTCACACTGTGTGGAGGGCTCAAAGGTATCCGACCATTTAACCGTCTTTCGGACGACGGCGTGCGCATTCAGAATGCGCACCAGATCGGCTGTGGCAAATTCGCTCTCGAGGTACAACCGTTCCAGAGCGTGTAGGGATTGGAACGCAGTATCCACGGGAAGGAAAAGTGTGAGTTCCGACGTCGAATTAAGAATTGCAGCGATCTCGGGCGTAATGATCTTGTGGAAGTAGGACACCGAGGATTGTTCGGCAACGAGGTGTGCGAGGTCGGGTGGGGGCACGAGGACGTCGTTGATGCCGAGAAGTATCCCATTCCCTGCGTCAATCTTCCCCTTTACTATCTCCACTCCACCCTTACCAAAAGCATCTACTCCAACCCAGGCGCCTTGATCCCGAACGGCCACTCGCAGTCGCTGAGGTTCTGATCCCAATGATCCGCCTGGTACCGGCATCCATGGGGGATTTGGCGAGGGGTCCTTTGAGGGTGGCTCTAGAGGAGAGTGCGGATAGTGGAGGGTCTTTAAGACTTGAGGAGGGTTGGGGAGGTCCGGAACAGCAGGGACGGTATAATTTATGATATGGTAGAAAAGCTGCTGTCTAAGCTTCTCCTGGATATTATCGGTCATGATGAAGGCGTCATCGTGAGCAGCTGCATTCCAAAGATCGTCCTTGTGGATGGCGTCGTTCGTGGGTGCGAAAAACGTGCTCCCGTTGAGACGATTCAGCGTCGGGATCAAACGCGCGCGTTGGAGTAAGCGAAGTAAAGAAGTGTAGTCAGGATCAGCATTGAGGGCGTCAACTAGGGTAGGAGAGAAGATAGATATTTGAGAGGGAACGACAGGCGTAGCCAGCAGTAGCAAGGGCCACAACATGGTGGTTTGAGTTCGGTTGAGTAAAGCGCAGCGTGTGCAGAGATGACGTCCACCTCCTATCATCATCACATCCCGTTTAGGTGAGCCTGTCAACGACGGACCTTGCCCTATGCAGCCTTGATGCTCTCGTTGGTCTCGCTCCTCCAGTCGCCGCAACACGCTTTTCAGACTTTCCAACTCCCGAACTCTACTCTTCTGGTCCGCAACAGCGTTTCGATCACCCACCCCACCCCTCATATCTTTTAGCTACACGCGTCGGCTGATGGCATTGTTATCCGCGATGCACTGTCTCTCGCCGTCGTACGCGTGCTTGCGTTTTGGGAGGCGTTCCCTGGATCAAGTGGCCAAGTGTCTTGCCTTTCCGTCGACTCCGGCATGAAACTCGTGCGTCAATCTGTTACCGAACGTCGCGTCCTCGACCTACGCCAGTAGATTGCCGCCTCGATGGGATCCCGAATAGCGGCGTGGTCCCTCTCGGGCGTCGATCAGAATGCATGGCGGCTTCATTCGACTTTGGTGTTTCCTGTGGGTCATGAAGTCACATCCATGGACAGCAAATCCGGTACATGAACACTAGGTGCTGTAAACGGCTTGCTGATCGCTTCAGGTTTGCTTGCTGTGGGCAGCACATACGGCTTGTCTGTATACACATTGATACTTGAAAACGATCTACCAACATGGTCTCAAAAATGGATTATTTCGTACGTGAACGTTCTCAACTCCAGTGCAATCTAACTCTGAAAGCACTTTCAGTACCGGAACCCCTACGATGACACGCTTTGCCCCATCGCTTATGTATATTGCGGCAACCGCCGAGGTGAGTCTTTTTTGCTAGTTGCGCAGGCAATCCGAGGGATCTCCACATACAGGACAACCAATCTCTTCGGATCTATTCTACAACATCTGGGCGCTTAACACAAAATATCTCCCATCCACGGCCTATTACCGACTTCTCTTGGAGACAGCCTGAAGCATCTAGCCGGTATGTTGCTCCTCGAGGCACAAAGCACGCGGCGTTTATGAAGCATCAGGGATGATCTAATACTCTACACTATTACAACGGACTCGACACTGCGCATATTCCTACCGGTCCTGGACTCACCCGAACATCTGCAATTGCATGCATCACTAGATCTCTTCTCCTCGATACCATTCAGCATAACAGGCAAGATGCCCGCCAGTTCCAGCATCTTCTGGTTGGACAGGCAGATGGTCGACAGATGTCTTTCTGTAGCATCAGACGAGAGCAATGCGCAGGAAAACCCGCGTATTCGACGGATGAAAGAAATCAAGGATGAGGGCTGGGATCTATTTCTTCGAATTGTGGATGACGGTTCGGCCGTGATCACTGCAGTAGCGGCAAGTCTTTCCTCACCGCCACCAGGGCTTGACTTAAAGTTTCCAGAACATAGACCGGCGACCGCCAACGCTCTTAAAGCAACTGGTCGTCCAGCAAACTCCCCCGGGGACGTTTCCTTCTGCCCCGAAACACCTACATCTGCTACCAGGGACAAAACCAGACTCGCTGACGCTTGTGACGTTATCACCGTTGCGGACGTACCAATTCTCACCATCGTCCTTCTTCGATGCTGATCCAGAAGGCTTGCTCTCTCTCTCTGCGGCGCCAGAATGGCGCAATGCAGAGGAATCGCGAATTCTTCGGTTTGTGCGAACTCCGGATGGAAGCGGTGTTGGCGTCATCCGCGAGACTGGTGGCGAAGCTTGGAATCTAGGGCAAAACCACGGACTGCAACGGGCGGTTCAGTGGGGAGCAGCTGATCAGGTCGTGGTTCTGGACGGTGGTACGTGCCAATCTTCTCCTACCCGTATGCAGCTAACAGTTTTCATCCAGGTCGGAGCTATGCGACATACGACAGCGCGCGAGAAGAACTCCGACTGAGCACCCATCCCCAGAGTGCCCTCTCGCTGCCCGAAATCACCTCCCTGTTTTCTCTTCCGTCAGATAGCGGTTCTGAGGCCATATTCGGGATTACCCAGGACTTCTCCGTTATCCAGGTCAACGTCGAGGCTGCTGGTCTCGTACTAGAGGCTCATAGCACGCTGCCGATGTCGACACCGAAGATGATCCTACCCGTCGATCCAATGGCTTGGAACAAACTAGGCAGCTGGGCCGCGCGTGACATCTTTTTGAGTGTGTCTGATTCGGGTGAGCTGGCCTTCTGGACCAGGACGAGAAATGAGTGGCGATGCACTGGGAGTGTCAAAACCAACAAGACAGGGATCACAAAAGCAAGATGCAGTTCAGTAAAGAAGACAGCGCTTGGTACCAGCTTCTACACTCACTGCTATCGTACAGTCCTAATGTTCATTTAGTTGTCTCGACACCAGGAGATGAACTCACCATCTGGGACTCCAAAGAGTCGGAGTTTGCAACTGGTCTGGAATACCACTGTGTCTACAAGTGTGTCAGTCTCGACTGAATGAGATGCATATCTAACTCCTTCCTCAGAGAGTCCATTAACGATCTAGATTGGAGCTCGACTCCCGATGCGCAATCCATCTTGGCTGTGGGATTTCTGCATCGCGTGGAACTCCTCTGCCAGCAGCGGTCGACCTATTTCGATCAGGCGATCGGCTGGCTGAAGTGTTGGACGATCGACATTGGCTCGTGAGCAAAAGCTGTCTTCTTAACCCAGAGATCGCTTCACTAAACCTTGGTAAACGCAGCTTTATTCCGTATCAGATCAGCGATTCGATCTGGCTGGCCAACGGATCGCTGCTGGTCGGTGCTGGGCATCAAATGTTCTTGTTTGGCCAACGCCAAATTGGAGAGGAAGGCCTGTTCGAGTACGTTGCTCGTCGGAACGGGCCACTGGAAGACTACCATCCTCAGATGCTGCTTCAGTGTTTAATTTGGGGTGCGTGATCAGATTGTCACTTGTGCGAGAGTTCTCATTAGGTACCAGACAAGGTCGAACTGGTCAAAGACATCATTTTCAACCTTGCACAGGACCTCGAAGGGTCGACGGATGAGAACACTCGACAGTCGGTGCCGATCGAGCGCTTTCTTAGAAAAGAGGCTAAAAACGCTCCAAACGGTGCCCATAAGAAACAGTACACATTTCTTTTCAACGGCCCGGAACCGAAGGATGAGTGCGTATTTTCCACCTTATCTCTCACTTGATCTCATCTATCACAGGGAAGAAGACGGTTTCAATCGCACTCTTGTTGACCGTTTGATGAAGGCTCTGGAGAAAAAACCTCTTCAACATCTTACGCGGAATGAAAATGCGCATCTGCTCGGACTTATCCAAACTACGCTTGAAGTAAGTCGTGGCGGCGTTGAATGAATGAACTATCCTCACGCAGCATAGATCGACGAGCAGCGGAGGGCACTGGACTCCAATGGTCTGCGATATCTCATCTCGATGCGGTCATTCTACATCTTGAATGAACGGACTGCCGACTCTCTCGGATCGCTTGCGCCCCGAAAGCGATTGCGATACCGCGACATGGTTTGGGCTTTCTTCAGCGAGAGCCAAGATCTGCTGTTGTCAGCATCGGCTGCCGCATGCAACAACAACAAGATGTGCTGGGCTGACGCCAGAGCCCTCGGAGTCGCTTTGTGGTTGAATTCCGTCGAAAATCTGGTGAGCGCGATCACTACATGCAGCACGATCGTGTTCGCTCACCTTCGCTACAGAGATCGCAGATGGAGATTGTCGCCAGGAATGAGTTCATGGCTGGGGACAACAGAGATCCGGTCGCTTGTTCGCTGTTCTACTTTGCGCTTGGAAAAGTGAAGTTGGTGCACGGTCTCTGGAGACAATCCGCCTGGCATAAAGAACAAGGGGCTATGCTCAAGTTTCTGTCAAACGACTTCACAGAGCCCCGGTGGCGCACTGCGGCTTTGAAGAATGCTTTTGCTCTGCTCGGGAAACAGCGCTTCGGTGAGTCCTGCCGTCGGAGGTGTCTGTCAGAGTGTTTGTGCTGATTCGAACGATGATACAGAATATGCTGCCGCATTCTTCCTTCTCGGTGGTGCACTTCAAGATGCGATCAATGTCTGCCTAAAGCATCTGCGTGACTTCCAGCTAGCGGTGGCGCTGGCCAGGATTGTCGAGCAGAGCAACGAGGGTCCCGTGCTGCACAAGATCCTCGAGGAGACCGTCATTCCCACAGCGTTCCAGGAAGGGAATCGATGGCTGGCCTGCTGGGGCTTCTGGCTTCTCCACCGCCGGGACCTCGCTGTCCGCATCCTTCTCACTCCCTTGCACGATATCGCCGAGTCTCTTGACATTAAAGACATCGGGCAGGCCAACTATGACGATCCGAGCCTGGCTTTGTTGTTTTCGCAGTTGCGCTCGAAGACGCTCCAAGCCGCATCGGGAACGAGCCAGATTTCCGGACGGGTCGAATTCAACTTTGTTCTGCAGATGGCCCGGGTGTTCTGCCGCATGGGTATGTAGATCAATGCTGGCTATGGATTACGGACCTGACTGATCGTCTGCAGGCTGTCCAGCACTCGCACTAGATCTCGTCCGGTCGTGGCAATTCGACCGTCCGTCCATCGAGAAGAACCGACCGATTGCGAGACGTCCTACATTTGCACTTGGTCCCAGCCAACGCCGCCGATCATCGATTGTGATCGACATGGAGATCCCGTCTTTGCCAGGGACCCGGCCTGGCTCTCCCGTGAGACCAGCACTGATGTCCTCAGTCATCGTCGAGGAGCCGAGCAACGACAAGGAGGACCTCACTGCGAAAAAAGCGGGGCTGGGGAAGCTTATGAAATCCGCAAAACAGAACGTGACTGTGCCGGAGTTCAATATGGATGCGTTTTTCTGAGTTGGAGAGTGTAAAAAAGTACAAGAGAAATGCTGTATTCCAAAAACGACTGGCAGTGCTGAGAGGAGCACCTGCTTATTACTCCTGTACCTCGGCTTCACGCTTCTTCAACACCAAGTCGGATCCCATGACACGCTTCCACACATCTTTGACGTCGTCCACAACGGTCTCGAAGTGCGACGTAGCATCGTAAGAGCGAGTCACAAAGATGTTGTCCGCTTCGCCGGAGGTGGTCGGCGTGTAAAGAGGCGAGACGGTGATAAATCTGCTCAACATCAAGATCTCACTCAACAGATACTAGAACGTGACGCACTGTTCAGAAATGGGTCCGAGCAGGTTCAAGCCCGGGATGATCTCTGTGTGTGGGTTGTCCGTCTCCACGATCGTCGACACAATGGCGATGTACACATCCTTCGCGCAGACGTTGTGGGTGGCGGAAACACAGGCGACGTAGATATCTGCTGTAAGTCAGTCGCCGTCTCCACTTCCTGTGATCTTAAACGCACCGTTCCTCCGGTTCACTTGGTTCTGGGGGATGATGATCTGCATGCTGTCGCTGTCCTCCGTGTTCGGGATGGGGTGCCTCAGGAGGCAGATAGCCCGGACAACACGGCCATTCTCGACAACGCGCACTTTGCCGTCCGGCGATTCTCCACCCGCGCCGAAGTAGCTGGGGTCGCCGATGACCTGCTTCGCCTTGACAGTTTCGCCGTCGCTCGTGACGCCGACGAATTTGCCGTCGGCATCGGTGACGATCTTCTGGATCGGCTTGTCGAGCATGTACGTGCCACCGTAGATGGCGCTCAGACGGGCGAACGATTGCGGGAGCTCCCCGAGACCGTAGAGGGGGTAGATGTAGGGGGATTTGCCATAGCGCGCCATAGAGGAGGTGTAGAGAACGATCCGATCGTACGTAGGCCGAGCGGGTTTGGTAATGTAACTTGGGACAGGTCAGCGACAGCCGTGGAGCCACTGATCGTAGCCACGTACTCGTCATCGAGGTAGAGCGCCATGGCATGGCCGATGAAATCCTGAGTACCGGGCTCGAGACCGAACTTCTCGTAGACGGTCCTCATGTTGTCCTTGTCCAGATCGATACCTATGGGTTGGGGCGACGATCAGTAATCAGTAGCGGCGCTGAAACGTGTATTGAGACACACCTTGATGAGTCGCAGGGTCATCGTCCTTCCAGCCCTGCAAAAACTCAAAGAACTTCTTGGCCCGGCGCTTCTCGAAGAGACCCATGAGGGGGCTCTTGACCGCCTCCATTTCCGTGCTGGGCACCTTGGAGATCTTGCCATCGCGATAAACGAAGCTGCCCGCGATCTGCTTGAACTCGAGGTAGCGCGTGACGTCGGTGTGCACGAGGATGCGGGTGAGCTCGCCCGAGGCAATGATGAACTTGGGGACCAGATCGACAGCGTAGTCGCGGTCACGACCGAGGTCGGTCGGAACTGCCTGATCAGGGCGGAACTTGTTGTATAGCTAGAAGCCTCATAAGGAGGACGATACGGGAGAGAAGTTCAGGTCGCACCTGAGTCAGGTTCAGACTCGCGCTGTCACCGCCATAGTAGTTGTTGCGGTCCATGTGGAGGACCTTTTTGCCCTCGACGGACAAGAGGCCTGATAGGATACATTCGGTAAGGCCAGTGCCAAGAACGATGACCTAGAAGGGCATTGGGATGCTGATATTCTGAGTAGAGTCTCCTCACATCGTATTCCTCATCCATGGTGGTGGTTCGATGCAAGGTGTGTTTGGCGAACGAGACTTGACCCAGTAGTAACCGACCCACGTGGATCAGTCGACTATTACAAAATAAGATAGGGGCTAAATTGTAGTTTACATTGCATGTGTCCTTCGTCGTTGTGCTGCTCAAAATTCTCGGTTTTCGGGTATCAGCAAGTCTTCCTCCACGCTAAATTTACGTTTGGCTCGTGGCGGACCTGAGCTCAGTTCAACTGATCGAGACCATGTCCTCGACGGCGGTGACGTTCGCTCCACAGCGACACTCTGCGACCGAATCTTTTTGGCAATTTTATCAATTTCTGGATGAGGACCTCAGTAGGGCGAAAAGGAGCGGATGCAAAGCTTACGTTTCGAATTTCGCTTGTAGTATTCACTGCGCTGGTCAGAAACTGCCGATGGACTTCACTGCCGTACACTCACTTCCAAGAGTTCATTGTTCTCTGAGGATACAAGGGTGCAAACTTTCTCCATCGCTCGGTGTATCCAACCTGAAAATGCTCAGGATGACTTGTCTCGAGATATTGTCACATACCTCTAGGAAATCGGGGAATGTCGCCACGTGTCTGGCCACCACAGCCATGTCAGCTGGACGAGAAGGGCTAAATGGACCGCGCGACAAGAGCAGACTGGAGCTCACCTTGGGTGTATGAGCCCCCTTTTGGCCCCATTTGACTTATATCCGCCGCTGGAATATCTACGTCCTCGTCGTCAGATTCCTCGTCCACCTCTTCCTCTTCATTCTCAGATTCAGTGAGCTCCGACCCTGAATCGGGTTCTTCATATTTGCGTCGACGCCGAGATGATCCGCCTTCATTACTGCTCTCAGATTCTTCTTCCTCGGCTTTCAATTCAGCCTCCTCTGCCTGCCGACGATGGGATGCTAGGATCTTGTCCGGTAGATCATGATGGCCGGACCAATACGAGGCCCATGACTGATAACTGTGATGTGGTGCCTAGCCCGGTTCGTCAAGTCATGGCACTCGCCCCCCAGTCAAGTGCTATGCACCCACCTTCTCCGCTAACAGCTCGCACAGTTCGAGTCTGGTCAGGGTCGGGTCATCTTTCAGGCGCCACCCGATGAAGTTGATGAAGAATTTGCGATCCGATAACGTGAATTTGTGGCCGCCCCGTGCATGAGGCTGGAAACATCAAATGAGTGTGCAAGCCGAGCCTGAATCAACCGACGCGACGTACAATGAGTTCTGTGGGCGGCGTCGGTGAGCGCGACGGAGGTTCGGGGATTCTCAACTCGGTATTAGGAGGCGGTAGACGAGGATTGAATTCCGCGACATGCACTGTCATGCTGTTGATCGTGCTGCGTCCTCTGGGCGCAGGTTTCGTCGCCTGTTGAGAAGACTCCGAGGATCGTCGTGTTCTTTCGTTCGGCTTTCTGCGTTTGTTCACTCTGGACGAGGACGATGATGCGACAGGAGAAGATGAGCGGAAGGCAGACGAAGCCTGAGGTGAGGGTTCCGTCTTGAATGTAGCGATAGAAGGCTTCTTGATCGTCTTCTTGGGCGGCCCATAAGCTTGGATGGCAAGGTCTAGTCGGTCCTTGATTTCAGAGACTGTTTCGGTAAGAGCAAAAAGTTGACAGGATGAGGGATCAAACCTTGTTGTCCAAGTAGTAATCTTTCCAGAGTGTTGCCGAATGTCCTCCGGTCTGGAGAACACCAGGTGAGTACTACGCATGTTAAACACGCGTCAAAGAGACACACCCCATGAAGCCCATTCAGCGCGTCCTTATACGTGACTCCCCTACTCCGAGTCTCGGCCAAGGTCTTCACAAGCACAGGTTCATCTGCGGGCTCGACAGGATATGATAAGGCCAACGCGTCGTGGAAGACTTGCTGCGAGAAGAACGCGGGCATGCCGCCTAGATTGTTGGGATATGTTTGCTGAGGGGGGAGTGCATTCATCCATGCCGGGTTGACCGCTTGCATGCCTTCCTGGTCTACCACTCCCAGTGTTGGTCCGTTGCTGAACCCAGCAGGACTGGGAGATGTCCCGGACCGTCCGTCTTGCAAGAATCCATTGTAGTTAGAGCTCGACGGAGATGTCATGTCATTTCCAAAGTCATCCGTGCTGTTTGGTGGGTGATTGGAGGAGCCTGCGTAGCCATTCATGGTAGTCCGAGGCCAGGTCTGAAAATCCCTATCCCAAAGTGGTCAGCCACGTGATACCTGTCAATCATGATCTTGACCCCGCTTTCGCTGTGTGAAGTGATCGGGCCGGATCCGGGGCAACCTTACCACCAACCATGCCTTCTATCCGCCGTTTTACCACTTGCGTTCCTCGACGAGCTCTCGGCGACCTCGCAAAGTCTGCAGTAACACAACTTTCCGAATGGCAGGGTACCTCCGTTGAGGGTGGGACCACGAAGAACTTCATCGGTGGTCAATTCGTCGAAAGCAATACGAATGAGTGGATCGACGTGCTTGACCCCGTGAGACATCATCATCCATACCCTTGGGTGCTTGTCTGACCATTGTCTCGATGAAAGTCTACGCAAACACTGCTCTCACGCGTTCCGCAAACGACCTCAGGCGAGTTCCAGCAGGCCGTCGACGCTGCCTCGGATGCCTTCAAGTCGTGGAGCCGAACGAGTGTCTTGAGACGACAGCGCTTCGCTCTCGAGTGAGTGAAACAGTGCATTCAGTGGGGTTCTGCTTCTCTGACTGCGCGTCAGACTCCAGCATTTGTTGCGTCAGAACGCGGACGCCATCGCGAATAGCATCGTTCTGGAACAGGGAAAGACATTCGCAGGTACGGTTGGCATCGCTGCGCTGCTCGCATAGCCCAGGCTCTGATCTCGAACGCTTACGAACGGTGTAGATGCCCACGGCGACCTTCTTCGAGGGCTTCAAGTCGTCGAAACGGCGACCGCAATAACTACGACCCTTCTGGGTGAAAAGATGGAGGGTGAGATGTGATGATATCTTCTAAAACTTCCACCGACGCTCTCGCAGTCAGCAAGGATATGGACACGGAAGTTCGAAAGCTTCCGCTCGGAGTCTGTGCAAGCATCGCGCCGTTCAACTTTCCGGCGATGATCCCGCTCTGGTCCATCCCCATGGCCGTTGTGACCGGTTCGCGCTTCTTGTGTGATTTCGTGCGCGTTCTCAATGGTGTCATGCAGGGAACACGCTCATCCTTAAGCCGTCTGAACGTGATCCGGGCGCGGCTATGATCATTGCCGAGCTTTGTCAGCGGGCAGGGCTTCCAGAGGGTGTTCTGAACATCGTCCACGGCG